GCAAACCTCCTATGTACATACAACAACCTTCCGATCACACACGGCAAGGAAGTAACTGGAAACCTTCCCATCACCGAATGGCTACGGGCCTGGGATCCTTTCCAGGAGACAGTAGAGATGTTTTTCCCATTCACGAATATCATACGGACCTGGGCGTCACCTCTCCGAATCTACGGGCCGATGACCTCTCACTGTTTATGCATTCCTCAAAGGCACTAACATACGGGACACTTAGACTAGGGTTCTCATGCATACATCATTTTTCAAAACAAAGCATTTATACGAAATATTAAGTGCAATAACTATGGAATACATCATAAATGTACCCACCTGATAGCAGCAACAGTGCAACGGATCACAAATCTTGAAACGAGGTGAAGTCAACACCTCTAGACACCTACATGATGTCAAGATCCTACAATCAGATTCTATCTCGACTTAAACCGGAAATCACAAGACAGACCTAGTCGAACTCGTTTCGACTAAGTAGTTCGTGAAGTCCTGTGGATGTTGGAACACTAAGACTCGGCTCTAAACTCGACCCAACCACATAAGGGAGTTCATAAAAAAATCCATCTAAGGTTTGACCAAGTCAAACTTACATAAAAACCAAAAAGCAAGTCGATCCCAATTTCATATACAATTATGCTCGAAAATTGAAATCATTTAATCGCGTGAAAAATAAAAGGTCAAGATATCCTACGAATTAAGCTCTGAAAATTTATACAAAATTTCATCTCCCAGTATCATGTAAAATCACAAAGTTTCAGCTTTAAACTCAAAATACCCCATTTTATAAAATTCGAAAAGTAGTTCAGCGAAAAAGGGCACATTAATCCATACTCAGACTTAATGAATGAATTTGAACCTGAAAATTTTACATAGCAACATTCAGTATACCAAAGTCCACTTATAAAAATTTCAGCCTTAAATGATAACTGCTGCTATTTTTAAAAATCCAAACGGGCAACAGCAGTTTATCAAATTTAAATCCAAACTGAAACCAAACGGACTCTAAAAATTTCCATATTTTATAAACATGATCAAACACCTAAAATATGACTCTCAGAAAAATTTCAGAATTTTCCATGCAGTAACCGATTTTTAAAAATTCAAACAACATTTCTGCAGATTCAATAAATAAAATAATAACCATATCAAATCAACACCAAAAATTCTAAAAATTTAGCACAACACCTATAAGTCACAGAGGCATGATATATCCAAATTTCAGATCATTTCAGTCAGGCATGAATTTATTATGCATTTAACAATATTCTGGACAGAATACAATTTAATTATTAAAAATAACTACAGGTCTCCAAAAATTATGAAAATTTTAAACAAGGCAGAATATGGTCAGATAACACATCCCTCAAAATTTCACATCGTTTCGAGCAGCGAGCTATTTTTAAAAATTCGAACATCAAAACAGCGATTAACAAGCTCGACAACTTGATAATTAAATCACAACACACAATTTATCGTCCGAGGCCTTTTCATAAGACCAAGGACTCGACATTGTTCCATTATCCACCGACTTACACGACTTTCGAGGTCTCGTTCGATTTCTGAGAAAATCGAAGAGGTCCCGAACAACACGAATACACATAAAATCATCTCTTTCACATAAGTTCACGTAGAATCCATTAATCGCTACATATTCACATCTCGTAAATCAAATCGTAAGGGGCACGTCACGTCATCAAACGATCACATAAAATCATAACACTTAAACAATTCCACATAGCATCATATAGCACATTAACACGAATAACACGACAAAATAAATCGAATCGTAAATAGTTGGAGTTCAAACCGTCGTTACCGTTCTCGGGAATTGCGCACGAAAACGGAACGAGGGTTGACGCACAACGAGGCTCAACGGCTCACGCTCGGCTCGCCGAAGGACTCTCGGAGGAGCTGCAGGGTCGCGGCCTTCCTCGACGGGGATCGGCTGAGGCTCGCGGTGGAGTAGCGGCGACGAACGAGCTCGACGAGTCGCTGAAGAGAGTCGTGACATCGCTGGGGGCGGCTGATTGCGGCGGCGGGCAGAGGCTCGCCGGAAAAGTTCCGCGTGAAGGGAGAGATCGCCGGACGTTGCACACGGGGTGCTCATCGCGGAGTTGCTGCTCGCCGGCAGAGGAACTCGCTGGTGGTCTGGTCGCGGCGAAACTAATCGGAGATGAGGTGATGATAGGAGATGATAGCGACTCGCGAACAGGGAAAGAGGAGGTCACCAGAGGGAGAAGAGGCGGACGGAATTCATGAGGAAACGATCGCGACGGGCTGGCCTCGTTTCAACGGTGATTGAGGAAAGGTCGCCGGAATTCGCAGGGGTCACGGTGTGGCGAGGTCGCTGTTCACAGCGCGGTGACTTGCGCGGAGGCTGAGTCGCGGCGAGAGGATCTGCAGGCGGGGTCGTCGGTGATCGCTAGTTCACAGTGAGGAGGATGACGACAGCGATGCGAGAGGGAGAAGGTCGACGAGCAGGCGATGTTGCTGTAGGGAATCGACGGAATCACAGGCGCGGAGGGAGAAAGTTTGGCGAGAGAAGGAGAGAAGAATTGCAGCGTAGAAGACTAGGTTTTACAAAAGAAAAATGTCTTAATGCCCAAGACATCAAACTTCACGTGAAAAACCAAGGGAAAATATGAGCTGGGCCGGATTTGTACTGATGGGGCGATTTTTGGCTTGGGCCAAATGGGTTTTGGGCCATTTTGCAACATTAAGTTGGCTCACGGGCCTGGTTCGCAAAAAAATTAAATCGGCTCACGGGCTCGATTTCGGTTCAAATGAAATATTTTCGGGTTCGATTATGATTCACGCGAACATTCTCGGGCTCGATAAAATCGCACGCTAATATACTCGGCTTTCGGGCCCGATAACGAATTCAAACGCACGATAAAAATAAACCGACCATACATATTTTTACATATATATTAATACACATTATTCACATTTTCTAATTTAATACATCACAAAAAAATCAATTTGACATTTAATCATTTAATCACACTGTGGCAATTAATAATATTATGGCATTCAAGAAAAATAAATATAAATATCATCACAAAATAATAATAATAATAGTAATAATAATAATAATAATAATCTCAAATAATCCACAATTAAATGGGGCACTACACCATTAATATTATTTAATTAATTAGAGGAGTGGGTTTGGCCCACAGTTAGTCTAATTAATTAAGGAGCCCTTTTCCTAATCTCCTTAGGGTCCCTACTGTAGCTCTATATATACATCATTAAGCTCATGAGAAGAGAATCCCAATCCTATTCGCACGTGAATAACGCCGCCCATCTCTCTCTCTCTAGATCTCATTCGAGCTTTATCTTCTTCTTGTTGCTCCACTGGTATAAGTTGAAGAAGGGTGTATTGAGTAATACAGTAGAAGATCTATAGGTAAACCGAGACTAAATAGATTTTGACCTACAGAACTAACCAGATGTCCGATTGAGACGTACAGTATACCCAGACGACCTTCTCGACGAGAGCTTTCCATCGCCGCCGACGTCGCCGGAATCCGACGCCGCACGCACCCTCACGCGCCGCCGGAAGGTGTCTGGCAGCAAAATCTCGCTTTGATCTGTTTGCATCCGTTTGATCCAGTTTTGATCTGATCTTGTTCGTGCAACCCAAGACGCGTGTTGCGGTCAATCAATTGCGGTCAACCGTTCGTGGTCAACCAGATCTACATAAATTTTAAGCCGTAAGTTCTCTACGTCAAACCTTTAGATCCGCTGCGCATAGGTTTACGTTTGCTATTGAATTCGTGATTTGTGCATAACGAGATCCTCACAGATCCCAACAAGTGGTATCAGAGCACTTGGTTAATTCGTTTTGTACAAAGTTCGAATTTTTACGGCTTTATTTGACAAAATGTGTTCAAACGCAGCCATATATTGGATTATATTTGCATAACTCGGTTTTGCAGAAAAATAGTTAATCCACTATTATTGTAACGCCCCGTTTTATTTTAAAGAATTTACCGAATTTATTTAATAAAAATCAGAGTTATTTTTTTTTTTAAATCCAAATTAAAACATTTATCGAGAAACGGGCGCTACTTATTAACCACAACAAATAAACACACTCAATCAAACAATCCAATGAACCTACACATGCTCGAGCTATGAAAATGACAATCTCATAAATCATAAATTTCAAAATCATTCCCGAACGACTAGCAGGAAATCCAGGTTCAAACGAAATTCAAACATAGTTCGAAGGCAAATAAATAAATAAACCAAAGTATTTGAAAGCAAATGAAATAAGTAACAAGTTCATGCATAACACATAATCAATATACAAAATCAAGCAGGGATATAAACACATATTAAAATATCCAAGCGGGAAAATAAATCATGTCAAGTTTCAGTTCAACAAATCATAAACAGGCGGAAGCATAATATAGCGATAACATAATTTGACCAACGACCATCCTCTCGCTCGTCTTTACGCCACCGCCACCAACTCAGCTCAACCTAAAGAAAGGAAGAGGAGACAACAACAGAAAAACAATGGGGGTGAGCAACCAACTAGCTCACCATTATCGCACGATTATTCCGCATAATAATTTTACAAACAAATAATCGCAGTGTACAATATCAATACCGGTATGCATAGAATTTATAGCCTAAACCCCCTACCCGGCCCTATCGCAAACCTCCTATGTACATACAACAACCTTCCGGATACGACGGCATGGCTGTAACTGGAAACCTTCCCACCCCCGGATACAACGGTACATGGGATCCTTTCCAGGAGACAGTGAAGTTGAATTACCCCTCCGCTCTACACGGATTCGAGTAAATCAGACAATCCCCTCCGCTCTCCACGGATTCGGGCGTCCACCTCCCGGATACAACGGGCAGGCGACTTCCACTGCTTTCGCATTCATCAAGGCACTAGCGTTTGGGATACTTAGACTAGAGTTCTCATGCATACAAAAATTTTTCAAAGAAATATTACAAGAAATAAGGAAGTGCGATAATTATGGAATACATCATAAATGTACCCACCTGGTTGCAGCGACAGATCTCAAACACGAATCTCACAAGCAGGGCGAGGTCAACACCTCTAGATACCTACATTAAGTCCAGATACTAAAGTCAACGCTTTATCTAGACCTAAGTAGAAATCACAAATTTGACCGAGTCGAACTTGATTCGACTAAGTGGTTCGTGAAGTTCTGTGGATATGGGAACACTAGGACTTACACTCGATCAAACCACATATTCGATTCCACACAATATCAAATAAAAGAATATCAGACGAGTCACAAGCAAACACATAACAAATTCGGTCAACAACACTTAACCAAATTTTAACATAGAAATGAATTTCCAAAATTGACACTTGAAATAGAAGGTATGTCAAACCTACGAGTTAGGCTCTGAAAATTTTACATAAAATTCACCTCCCAGAATTTAGTAAAAACACCAAGTTTCAGCCTCAAACTCATTAAACCCAATTTTATAAAATTCACACAAGTTTTTCAACAAAAGCGAGTTTAAATTAAAAGTACATGATAATGGACGATTCAAGCCACGAAAGTTTTATCTAAAATTTTAAGGCATAGGAACAGCAATATATAAAAATACCAGGCTTTAACATTCAGCAAGTGATTTTATAAAATTAAAACAACATTCAGCCAAGTATTTCACTTATAACAGAACCGACCTCAAATGAACTCCAAAATTTCTAAACGTTTTACAGCATGCTGAACATTACATAATAAGCACCTCCACAAATTTTCAGAATTTTTCAGCTTCAGCACAATTTATAACAATTAAAACAAAATCGGGCAGATACACCAAATAAATCGTTAACTTTATCAAACCCAGTTCAAAAATTCTAAAATTTTTATACAACATATAAGCATGCCTGGGACACAACATACGCGAAAATCAGCCAGAAAACAACACTACACAATTACTTATGAATTTTACAAGAAACTGAACAGAATTCGAATTAATTTTTAAAAATAGCTAAGCACCTTTAAAAATCATGAAAATTTTACATAAGCTACCTATTCACCAAACACAGCAGCTCCTAAAATTTCAAGGAAATCGGACCAGTATTCGATTTATAATGAATTTTTCAATCTAAACAGCAATTATAACTTTTGAAAAATCATAACTATCAATCTACAAGTCCGATCGACACAAGGTCAGCGCCATTGTGTTCGTAAAAATCCTAGGTTCCTAAATCCACAGCAACTAATCACTTTTAACAAATCCTCATTCGATTCACACGAATCGACGAATTCACATATCAACACGACAATAATAATATATAACATCAATCAACACATATATCTATATCACATGTCACTTGAATAACATATAACGAATCACACAACACGATCAATTCGTATCAACGAAAAGACTTAGGGTTTAAGCCGTCGATACCGTTCTCGGGAAAGGCGCTCGAAAACGGACAAGAGAGGGGCTGACGGGGTTCGAGAGTCGCGCACGTCGGGCTCGACGGGTTACGTGCGGCTCACCGGTGAAGCAGCGGCTCAAGAGGCGGCTCGAGAAGGAGCAGCAGCGCACGGATTCGCCGAAAAGGGCTGCTGTGGTTCACCGTAATTGGCCGACGGAGCTCGACTCGACGGTGGCTGGGCTCGGCGGAGATGGCTGCTCGAAGAGGCGCTGAAACTCGATGAACGGATGGGGTTGCTGCGGATTCTTGTCTCGACAGACGGCTCAACGGCCGACGGCGGGACCCGACTAAAAAGGGGTGTAGTTGCTTCCACTTCTTCTCGCTGGAAAAGAAACTCTCGGTTGCTGCTACTTGGCCGAAGCTTTGGACGGCACAAATCCTCGTCGTTTGCTACTTGCTGTCGCCGGAGGTGGAAGCTCACGGCTACTCGCTGGAAAAATTCAAGGCCGGCTATGCGGTGGTGCGAGATGACCTCGGCTTGGCCGGACGACTGCTGTCACGCGAACACGGTCGGCGGGTTGCTGCTTGAAGTCGCCGACGGTCAGCTTTCTTGGGTGATGACGATGAACGGACCACCGCTCTCGATGCGCTGCCATGGAGTATCGTCGGTGAAGGCGGCAATAGGTGGATCGCGAGGGTCAAAGGACTCGCCGGCTACAGAGGAACACGCCGTTGACAGCTTGCTCGCGATGAGCTGCTCTTGTGGCGGTAGCTCGCCGGAGACGAAAGGCCGATCGAATTTCTCAGGATGGAGGTAACAAAGGACGATTGCGAGGTTTGAGAGAGGTGAGATTTGAGATGCTTCCCGATCTATTATCTCATAGAGGCGGGGACTAGGGTTGTAAAGAAAAGAGGAAAAATACTTGGGCTAAAAAAAAACAACTGTTTGGGCCTAGTATTTGCTGAAAAATCAACATAAAAGGGCCAGAATTTGTCTAATTGGACCGGTTTTTTGTACCCTAAAAGGGCCGAAAATTTAATAATCAAAGGGTCGGTTCACGGGCCGGTTTGCAAAAGTAAATCGACTCACGGGCCCGATTACAATTCAAACGAATATTCTCGGGCTCAATTTCGGTTCCAATGAAAATTTTCGGGCTCGATAACGAATTCAAACGCACGATAAAAATAAACCGAACAATATATATATCTTACATATATATATATATTAATACACATTATCCACATTTAATAATTTAATAAATCACGAAAATCAATTAGACAATTAGACATTTAGCATTTAATCGCATTTTGGCAATAAATAATATTATGGCATTCAAGAAAAATAAATATAAATATTATCACAAAAATAATAATAACAATAAAAAATAATAATAATAATATTCTCAAATAATCCACAAATAAATGGGGCATTACAGTCTACCCTCCTTAAACGATTTCCGTCCCCGGAAATCCAAGAAAAATCATCCCAACAGGACAATTGACACACGAGAGAAGCTCAAACCACTCAGCTCGGATACTCCATCCGAATCTTCCCACTCTACCAAGTCACGCCGTACTAGCCATGGTTACCCTGCCGGACTTTGACGAGTACCTCTCCCGGACTCTCCCCGCTGGATTCGTCAATCCATTAGGTCACCGGTACCTCATCAAAGGTAAGGTTCTGCCCACATGCAGCTCGTCAAAGATTGCCTCGTGCCTAGAGTCGCGCACCTGTCCCCTCTCCATGAGGCACTGAACAGGTCGTGCACTCTCGCAAGCTCCGGTGATGGGGTCAACTGTCAGGCTAAGACGCCGACTCAGTCGAGAATCACGAAAGGACCAACAAATGTAGCTGATATTTTCTCTCTTCCCAGAACTCCAGGCGTACAACGCCTCTTTCCGTACTCAGAACCTCGTACGGTACCATCAAGATCGTCACTCATAGTCATTGCTATAAGCGCACTTTCTTATGGTAAGAAATTCCACACGACACACCCATCGAGTACACCCGACTCAAAACCAGTCTCTCAGGGTCTCGACAGCATGTCCTAAACGCATAACTATCTGGATTTCTATGTGGTGCCAAGTTCAGTCTCGTGCCCGGGTCACGTTGACAACTTGCCCACGATTCCAAAGTGATCCGTGCGTCCGTATCAAACGGGCCGCCACAGGATCTCTTACAAAAGGCTAACAAAGCAACAACAACGCCACAAACTCAACACTGATACCTACAGAATCCACGGTTCTGCTCGATATCGATGACAAAGCCTCATTCCCTGCCGACACGAGTAACAGCTCGTATGCGGCTTAGGAAGTATCGACTAGATATTCGAAAACAATTTCTATCGCAGAAACTGACTCTCAAATAAGGATGCACGACGATCCCATTATAACGGTCTAAAAGAACATAGCCAGTCCGAGGTTTAATGCACTGTCACCCGAGAGATGTCATACACACTGGCGCTGCATAAGCGGGGCGCTGGGACGTGTGCCTACATCTGTTCGGAGAACAGTTGCAAGGTCAAGGTTTCGGCCACACACTGGCTTGGGGAGCTCCTGCGTTCGGTGATGGTGGCTGCAGCTCTCGTGCGAGTCAACGATCGGCCCTGCAGTGCCTCACGTCTCTCAGCACAGGCTCGCGTGCTCGACCACCACTTCGCGTGACTACACCCAGTCAGCGTCGGCGCTCGGTTCGAGGACAGAAAAGAATTACTCTAATTCAAGGCTCACACTATCTGAGGTAGCCAGGAAGGAAAGGTTTTCACAAAACCGACCAACATTAGGATATAACAAAGACATCACATTTAAAGAAAGCGAATATCAGCATCCTCAGCTAGGAATCATCCTCAACTAAGTGGTCATTGCCGAGCAATGAAAATGATCAGCTCGCATGGGCTCTTCCGACTAACAGTGTCGGCCGTCACGTCAGCTCTATCTCCGGTAGCTAATCGTGCCGGTAGTCCTAAACGAGCTCAAATTCTACTCTGCTAAGATTTCACGTTTCTGGATCTCATCTCGAAGCCTCCTTGGTTGATTCGTCTCGATCGCGTCTCGAATATAGGTCATCAACGATAAAAAATAAATAAATAAATAAAACACGACTGATCGATCTGGGTATGAATGAAGTACCAGACCGAACGACATCACCAAATAAAATCGAAGGAACGATTTCAGACAAGCGGAAAAACGAAACTGCTCGTCTTAATCAATACATCAGCTTGCAAATCTTGAAATGAAACTCCAAACAACAAAAACAAGAGTTTTCAGAGGATTGCCAAAGAGTCAAATCAAATACAAAGGTTCACTCTCGACACTCCGAAGGGAAAAAGAACGAGAGTTTTTCAAAGTTTAATTATGAACGCAATTAGAAAACGAAGACGGCTCTGCACTGCACGATGCGCTTACATCTGGCTCGACTACCCTCCTAAAAAAATTCTCCTATAACAAAACATCCTTAGAAAGGTGTCGAGGCTCCTCCCGATCAGGTATGCGATGATTCTCACGTACGCCACTTCGGTTCAAAGTTAAAATAGATCACGAAAGAAAAATTGATCGCCGTCTATCTCGAAGCTAAGGTATTCTCAAGTTGACCTTCGCATTGACTTAGCGAAGTTACTGCACACGGTTCGATATCAGATAAGGATCAATAAAATTGAAGTTCGATGCTCAACTCCATCCCAAAGTTCTCCACAAGGAAAAGAAATTCAAGCAAATTGTCACGGAACGAAAATCAAATAATAAGAATGGGTCACGAAATACAATTCAAACTTGACTACTAAGCGAAAGGTAGTAATCAAGGACAAAGGAATAGCACTCGGGTAGCAAAGGCGTGAACGGTAGGTTAAAGGGTTGAAAACGAATCAAGCTCGCACATTAATATTTGCTGCAAATTTCCAGAAATCTGATTGCACGAAGATCGTATCTTGAACGCATCCCCTGAATGAATCTTGCGCCGTTTGAATCGTAAGGGACAAGACTACAATTCATATGAAGACATCGAGGTTCCCAGATTACCAGAAGCATGCCAAAAATAGCGAAAATAAAAGACTCCAACTGCTGCGATTTGCACGAAAAACTGACTATGCAACGATCGGATCGGCGCAATTATCAATAAATAAAAGAAAAATAACAAACACGCGATTCATGTTCCTCATGAAAGGCAACAGGCTGATCTAAAATTTACAAGAGGACTTCAAAAAGAAACGACGAGGTTTCAGGGTTTAAAAACAGCCATGGAAACAGATCACATATAAGATCGAAAAACTAGAAAAACTGGACGCGCTCTCGAAGAACTTTGGCCACATCATCCAGCATACAATCGATATTCACTTGGTTCTTGCTCAAGATGAAACATAAGAGATAGATCTTTAACTCATCAGAAGAGTTCAAAGCCTATCGACCGAGTTTAAGGGGTCAAATCAGCGACCAAAAAGTCATCAATGAAAGGTTTTCAAAAAGAGGTATTTCAACCAACTCTTACAACGCACGACATCACAGGACGAAGGTTCGGATGACAAGTCAAGGCTCGAATTTATTCGATAACAACTCAACCATAAATAACAAAAGAAGAGGGTATCAATAACTCAACAACAGAGTTCTAATACCCACAAAGAATTTCACAAGACAACTAACGAGAAAAGAACGGATAATAACGAACAAATTATAACAAGGGGAAATCATCCATTAACCCGATTCCCACGAGTCCACACGCACAAGTGGTCGGATCATCGACATGAAACCAACACTTAGACTCCACTCCCGGTTCCCATTGACCGAGTTCTACACGCGTCTAATAGTTCTAGCCACAATAGTCACAGACTTCCGAATAATCCACACATCCGGGAATTCTTCGTTTGTCTGTTTCCTATACTTAAGCCTTCTCTTTCGAGATAGCTTATGAATGATTCTCACTCGATGGTACTAAACAGAAACTCATAACGAGTGCACTTTTATGGACCAAACTTAACTCGATAACACCAACCCGAAAACTCACAACAAATAATTCTAGTTGGAACTTAACTCTACACCACTAGACTTCAAGTCCGAATAAACGGAGGGTAAATTCCTAAGCCCCAATAAAAGAACAAACCATAATCACGTCATTCACAATAATCAAAACAAATAAATTCATACCTTGAGCTGGCGCGGCGAGACGAAAGCGAGTGGTCAAATGGTCCTTACATACTTAATCACATATGAACCAGTCTACAGAAAAGAAAGACTGGCTCTGATACCAAACTGTAAACGCCCCGTTTTATTTTAAAGAATTTACCGAATTTATTTAATAAAAATCAGAGTTATTTTTTTTTTTAAAATCCAAATTAAAACATTTATCGAGAAACGGGCGCTACTTATTAACCACAACAAATAAACACACTCAATCAAACAATCCAATGAACCTACACATGCTCGAGCTATGAAAATGACAATCTCATAAATCATAAATTTCAAAATCATTCCCGAACGACTAGCAGGAAATCCAGGTTCAAACGAAATTCAAACATAGTTCGAAGGCAAATAAATAAATAAACCAAAGTATTTGAAAGCAAATGAAATAAGTAACAAGTTCATGCATAACACATAATCAATATACAAAATCAAGCAGGGATATAAACACATATTAAAATATCCAAGCGGGAAAATAAATCATGTCAAGTTTCAGTTCAACAAATCATAAACAAGCGGAAGCATAATATAGCGATAACATAATTTGACCAACGACCATCCTCTCGCTCGTCTTTACGCCACCGCCACCAACTCAGCTCAACCTAAAGAAAGGAAGAGGAGACAACAACAGAAAAACAATGGGGGTGAGCAACCAACTAGCTCACCATTATCGCACGATTATTCCGCATAATAATTTTACAAACAAATAATCGCAGTGTACAATATCAATACCGGTATGCATAGAATTTATAGCCTAAACCCCCTACCCGGCCCTATCGCAAACCTCCTATGTACATACAACAACCTTCCGGATACGACGGCATGGTTGTAACTGGAAACCTTCCCACCCCCGGATACAACGGTACATGGGATCCTTTCCAGGAGACAGTGAAGTTGAATTACCCCTCCGCTCTACACGGATTCGAGTAAATCAGACAATCCCCTCCGCTCTCCACGGATTCGGGCGTCCACCTCCCGGATACAACGGGCAGGCGACTTCCACTGCTTTCGCATTCATCAAGGCACTAGCGTTCGGGATACTTAGACTAGAGTTCTCATGCATACAAAAATTTTTCAAAGAAATATTACACGAAATAAGGAAGTGCAATAATTATGGAATACATCATAAATGTACCCACCTGGTTGCAGCGACAGATCTCAAACACGAATCTCACAAGCAGGGCGAGGTCAACACCTCTAGATACCTACATTAAGTCCAGATACTAAAGTCAACGCTTTATCTAGACCTAAGTAGAAATCACAAATTTGACCGAGTCGAACTTGATTCGACTAAGTGGTTCGTGAAGTTCTGTGGATATGGGAACACTAGGACTTACACTCGATCAAACCACATATTCGATTCCACACAATATCAAATAAAAGAATATCAGACGAGTCACAAGCAAACACATAACAAATTCGGTCAACAACACTTAACCAAATTTTAACATAGAAATGAATTTCAAAAATTGACACTTGAAATAGAAGGTATGTCAAACCTACGAGTTAGGCTCTGAAAATTTTACATAAAATTCACCTCCCAGAATTTAGTAAAAACACCAAGTTTCAGCCTCAAACTCATTAAACCCAATTTTATAAAATTCACACAAGTTTTTCAACAAAAGCGAGTTTAAATTAAAAGTACATGATAATGGACGATTCAAGCCACGAAATTTTTATCTAAAATTTTAAGGCATAGGAATAGCAATATATAAAAATACCAGGCTTTAACACTCAGCAAGTGATTTTATAAAATTAAAACAACATTCAGCCAAGTATTTCACTTATAACAGAACCGACCTCAAATGAACTCCAAAATTTCTAAACGTTTTACAGCATGCTGAACATTACATAATAAGCACCTCCACAAATTTTCAGAATTTTTCAGCTTCAGCACAATTTATAACAATTAAAACAAAATCGGGCAGATATACCAAATAAATCGTTAACTTTATCAAACCCAGTTCAAAAATTCTAAAATTTTTATACAACATATAAGCATGCCTGGGACACAACATACGCGAAAATCAGCCAGAAAACAACACTACACAATTACTTATGAATTTTACAAGAAACTGAACAGAATTCGAATTAATTTTTAAAAATAGCTAAGCACCTTTAAAAATCATGAAAATTTTACATAAGCTACCTATTCACCAAACACAGCAGCTCCTAAAATTTCAAGGAAATCGGACCAGTATTCGATTTATAATGAATTTTTCAATCTAAACAGCAATTATAACTTTTGAAAAATCATAACTATCAATCTACAAGTCCGATCGACACAAGGTCAGCGCCATTGTGTTCGTAAAAATCCTAGGTTCCTAAATCCACAGCAACTAATCACTTTTAACAAATCCTCATTCGATTCACACGAATCGACGAATTCACATATCAACACGACAATAATAATATATAACATCAATCAACACATATATCTATATCACATGTCACTTGAATAACATATAACGAATCACACAACACGATCAATTCGTATCAACGAAAAGACTTAGGGTTTAAGCCGTCGATACCGTTCTCGGGAAAGGCGCTCGAAAACGGACAAGAGAGGGGCTGACGGGGTTCGAGAGTCGCGCACGTCGGGCTCGACGGGTTACGTGCGGCTCACCGGTGAAGCAGCGGCTCAAGAGGCGGCTCGAGAAGGAGCAGCAGCGCACGGATTCGCCGAAAAGGGCTGCTGTGGTTCACCGTAATTGGCCGACGGAGCTCGACTCGACGGTGGCTGGGCTCGGCGGAGATGGCTGCTCGAAGAGGCGCTGAAACTCGATGAACGGATGGGGTTGCTGCGGATTCTTGTCTCGACAGACGGCTCAACGGCCGACGGCAGGACCCGACTAAAAAGGGGTGTAGTTGCTTCCACTTCTTCTCGCTGGAAAAGAAACTCTCGGTTGCTGCTACTTGGCCGAAGCTTTGGACGGCACAAATCCTCGTCGTTTGCTACTTGCTGTCGCCGGAGGTGGAAGCTCACGGCTACTCGCTGGAAAAATTCAAGGCCGGCTATGCGGTGGTGCGAGATGACCTCGGCTTGGCCGGACGACTGCTGTCACGCGAACACGGTCGGCGGGTTGCTGCTTGAAGTCGCCGACGGTCAGCTTTCTTGGGTGATGACGATGAACGGACCACCGCTCTCGATGCGCTGCCATGGAGTATCGTCGGTGAAGGCGGCAATAGGTGGATCGCGAGGGTCAAAGGACTCGCCGGCTACAGAGGAACACGCCGTTGACAGCTTGCTCGCGATGAGCTGCTCTTGCGGCGGTAGCTCGCCGGAGACGAAAGGCCGATCGAATTTCTCAGGATGGAGGTAACAAAGGACGATTGCGAGGTTTGAGAGAGGTGAGATTTGAGATGCTTCCCGATCTATTATCTCATAGAGGCGGGGACTAGGGTTGTAAAGAAAAGAGGAAAAATACTTGGGCTAAAAAAAAACAACTGTTTGGGCCTAGTATTTGCTGAAAAATCAACATAAAAGGGCCAGAATTTGTCTAATTGGACCGGTTTTTTGTACCCTAAAAGGGCCGAAAATTTAATAATCAAAGGGTCGGTTCACGGGCCGGTTTGCAAAAGTAAATCGACTCACGGGCCCGATTACAATTCAAACGAATATTCTCGGGCTCAATTTCGGTTCCAATGAAAATTTTCGGGCTCGATAACGAATTCAAACGCACGATAAAAATAAACCGAACAATATATATATCTTACATATATATATATTAATACACATTATCCACATTTAATAATTTAATAAATCACGAAAATCAATTAGACAATTAGACATTTAGCATTTAATCGCATTTTGGCAATAAATAATATTATGGCATTCAAGAAAAATAAATATAAATATTATCACAAAAATAATAATAACAATAAAAAATAATAATAATAATATTCTCAAATAATCCACAAATAAATGGGGCATTACAGTTATGGCCGATTATGTGTTTGATGAATGTTGTTGAATGTGATGTATGGTTTTAAATTTGTTTTTAAAGCCTCGGGCATGTCGAGGAATTTATGGATGAATGTTTGTAATAATTATTCGTCCGGGGGTTGACCGGATAGATTTAATTATTTGTTTAGAAAACATGTACATCCATTCGTTGGATCTAGGATCGAATTATGTAATTTTGTAAATTATATTTTTCGTGTTGTGATTGTGTGTTGATAACCGGGAGATCACAAGAGATCAACGAGCCTCGAAGAATTAAAAAAAAAACAAAAAAAAAATATCGGCGTTTTTCCGGCGAACTGGTGGCGGCGGCCGGCGAACCGGCGGTGGCTGGTGGCGGCGGCAGGTGGCGGCTGGTAGCTGGTGTTTTTGCCTTGTTGTCCAAGCAGTACAAGATCAACCAGGATTCTACTGCTTAAAGGAGTTCCAGTTGAACAGGGAAAAGAACTGTCACAGTTTCCTTGTTTAAGGAGACTCAATATTTAATGGCCATAATAGTGGATTTATTTATTTATTTAATTAAATTTATTATGCCATTAAATTATTATTTATGCATGTTAATTAATTATGTTCTTGCATGGGATTAATTTAGTATTGCAAGATTAATTATGCATGTTAATTAATTATGTGATGCATAGGATTAATTTAGAATTGTGTCAATAAATTATGCATGTAATTAATTATGTTCTGGCATGGATTAATTTAGAATTGCATAAATTATTGAACATGTTAATTAATTATTGCATTGACATAGATTAATTTAGAATTGCATGAATTAATATGCATGTTAATTAATTATTGCATTAACATAGATTAATTTGGAATTGTATAAATAGTTAAAAATCCTCATTAAATTATACTAAGTTTGAGAAGGGATTTTAAATTAAAGTTAATTGTAAAATTCCTAAGGCCTCCATTTCTAATTTGTCGGTAAATCAATTAATTGCGGCAATGGGCTCCCCCACGGGTGACATTGCTAAAATTGGTTGTAGGAAATTACCAGGACAAATTTCTAAAATTAGACGGTTAGAGGGAATCTTAAGAGAACGCACGGGCCTCCCCACGGGGGACGTGTAATCAATTTTGACAACCTCAGAATCGAGAAATGGGATTCACTTAGAATGCGACTTATCTATAAACTCCCCACGGGGTCCCTGGATTTATTGCATGGCCAAATGGAGACCGACTATTAATTTCGTTAGTCATGAATGTGGTTTTGACTTATGGAAATTAATGGGCCCTTGAAAAGTCCTTCTCTTACAAAATGCGAGTTTGTAGGGCGACCCACGTAGCATACATTCTCACGAGGTGTAATAGATGTCGGTGAATTTAAGTTAATATTGTTTTGAGGATCTCAATATTGACAGTTAAATTCAAAAGTGTTTAATCTGTAAAATTTATTTGCATGATTCTCAGGATATTCATCATGTCGTTCAATCCGTTGTCTGTCATTCTAAAAGAAAATCAGCTTACTGGTCCTAATTACATTGATTGGAAGAGGAACTTAGACATAGTGTTGACTGCTGAGGGTTATAAGTTTGCTATCACTGATGCTTGCCCGGCGGTGCCGGCGGCTGATGCTCCTGAGCAGGAGAAAGAGGAGTATGCTCGGTGGAAGAAGGCTGATGAGATGGCGAAGTGTTACATTCTGGCTTCTATGTCGAATGTTCTTCAACATCAGCATCAGTCTAAGGACACTGCAGCAGATATACTTCTCAATCTCAGGGATCTGTTCGGACATCAGTCTAGGGCTGCTAGGCAAGAGGCTTTGAGTGCTCTGATGAGTACGCGCATGGCCGAGGGCACACCCGTAAGGGAGCACGCTCTCAGGGTTATGGCGCAGCTCAATGAGCTTGAGGTTATGGGAGGTTATATTGACGGGGAAACCCAGGTTGATATTATGCTCCAATCTCTGCCGAAGAGCTTTGATCAGTTCCGGTTGAACTACAACATGCACAAGATGCATATGGCTCTTCCAGAACTGCTTGCAGAGCTTCAGTCGGCGGAGGCCTTATTCACTCAAGCACCTCAGGTGCTAGTCGCCGAGCAGGCTGGACCTTCCAGGCCTCACAAGGGCAGGAAGAGAAAGAAGTCTGCAGGAAAGGCGAAGGCACAGGATGCTCCGGTTTACCCACGACCGACCCCTCAGGCTGTGGCAAAGAAACCGAAAGGAAGATGCCACAAGTGCAATAAGTCAGGACACTGGAAGGTCGATTGCCCTCTCCTCAAGAAAGGTAACTCTCTCGTTAATGTCGTAGAAACATGTTTAGCGGTTGTATCTACCAGAACCTGGTGTGTAGATACTGGAGCCACTGATCATGTCTGCAATTCTTTGCAGGGGTTCCAGGAAACCAAGCGACTTAGGGAGGGAGAGATCACCGTCTACATGGGCAATGCTACGAAAGTGGCGGCTGTTGCAGTGGGAGACGTTACTTTATCGTTCGATAGTAGTAGTTTGGTTTTGAGAAATTGCCTTTATGTTCCTAGTTTTAGAAAGAACCTTGTTTCAGTTTCTAAACTCGTTATGGATGGTTTTTCAGTTTCGTTTGATGACATGGTTATTATTCGTTTTGAAAATCGTTTCATATGTTGTGGTTCATTAGTTGGCAATTTATATGTTCTCAAACCGAACTCTCCCACAGTGCAACATAATGAATTGAATAATGTCATAACTACATCTAATAAGAGGAAGGAGTCTTCGCAGATGAATCAAGCATATCTGTGGCACCTTAGACTTGGACACATCAACCTTAGGAGGATTCAAAAGTTAGTGGCCAGTGGACATCTCGGTCCATTGGAAGAGCACTATCCAACTTGCGAATCATGCCTAGAAGGTAAGATGGCCAAGAGGCCGTTTACGGCAAAGGGGTATAGGAGCCAAGAAGTGCTAGGATTGATTCATTCTGATTTGTGTGGTCCTATGTCGATCCAGGCTAGAGGAGGTTTCGAGTACTATGTGTCTTTCATAGATGATTACTCGAGATTTGGGTACGTTTATCTGTTGCACCGCAAGTCCGAATGCTTTGAGAAATTCAAGGAGTATCGGGCAGTTGTGGAGAAGCTTCATGGTAAATGTATCAAGTCACTTCGTTCTGATCGAGGTGGCGAATACCTTTTTGGAGAGTTCAGGACATACTTATCGGAAGCTGGGATTGAATCCCAACTGACTGCACCCGGCACGCCCCAGCAGAATGGGGTTGCAGAGCGAAGAAATAGGACTCTTATGGAGATGGTTAGGTCTATGATGAGTTATTCGAGGTTACCAGATTCGTTCTGGGGTTTGGCATTGGAAACGGCATCGTATATTCTGAACATGGTTCCGTCGAAGTCAGTTGACACTACCCCTTATGAGATGTGGAAAGGGCGCAAGCCCAGTTTCTCACAGTTTCGAGTTTGGGGTAGTCCTGCACACGTGTTAGTGCAGGAACCTGGCAAGTTGGAGAAACGTTCGGAAGCACGAGTTTTCGTAGGCTATCCCAAGGGAACGAAAGGTGGATTATTTTATAGTCCCGAGGATCAGAAGGTGATCGTTTCGACGAACGCTAGATTCTTGGAAGAAGACTATATTATGAATCATAAGCCCGCGAGTAGACTAGTCTTAGAGGAGTTAAGGGGTGAAATCGATGGTTCCCCACCGAGTGCGCAAGTAGATACATCACATAATACTGCAACACGACACACTGAGAGTGTACCAGTGCAGACAGTGCCTCGTCGCAGTGGGAGGGTTTCTCATTTACCCGACCGATGGATAGGTCTTGGAGAGTCGTCAGACTCAGTTCCAGGAGGCCTAGAATCGGACCCAAGAACTTACGATGAGGCACTCCAAGATAAAGATGCAGATTCATGGAATGTTGCAATGAAAGCTGAAATGGGGTCAATGGACTCCAATCAGGTCTGGGATCTTGTAGAACTACCCGATGGGGTACGACCCATTGGATGTAAGTGGATCTATAAGAGAAAGAGAGGATTGGATGGGAAGGTGCAAACCTTTAAAGCTAGGCTTGTTGCGAAAGGTTATACCCAGATCGAGGGTATTGATTATGATGAGACCTTTTCGCCAGTAGCTATGCTTAAGTCCATTCGGATTCTCTTGGCTGTAGCCGCTCATATGGACTATGAGGTCTGGCAGATGGATGTCAAGACAGCTTTCCTTAATGGGAACCTGCAAGAAGACATCTATATGCAGCAACCAGAGGGATTCATTGCTGAAGGTCGTGAGCATCTAGTGTGTAAGCTTAATCGGTCTATTTATGGACTGAAGCAAGCTTCGAGATCTTGGAACATCCGTTTTGATGAGGTGATCCAGTCGTACGGGTTCACTCAATGTCCGGATGAGCATTGTGTTTACAAGAAAATCAG